CTTGAAACAAATATAGAAGAATATGAAACGATTGGGATTGGTGTTCCTCAGATGCCCAGGCTTTAAAGTGTTGTAGTTGCGCAGCCAGGAAGAAAAACCACAGGCTGAGGAGGGCCAGCCCCCTGAAGCCTTGGGCCTCTGAAGGACATCAAGCTGCAATCTTGGAGGTTTCATCTTCCAGACCAGTTCCATGAAAATAAAATCAATTAAACAAAAGGTCTTTTTAGGAATCCAGAGGGGTGAGTTATGGAGGACATAGAGTAACTGAGGCATCCAGACCTTAATTAAATTTACCCTGCCAGCCACAGACAGCGGCAATTTGTCCCACAAATTATGTTGAGATTTAAATCTAGCCAAAAGGGGATGCAGGTTCAGGGTGAGGTAGTCACCGGGAGAGGCAGTCAGTTGTATACCAAGATAGGTAATGGTGGACTTCACCTGTATGTGCGCCGCATTTGCAGCCAATGGGGCACACAGTCAATCCAGAGGAAGGAGATTGGACTTGTCCCAGTTAACAACCAGACCGGAGTACATGGCAAATTACGACAGCAGAGACATGACATTGGACAGAGAGGCCTCCGTGTCTGCTAAGAACAACAGAGTATCATGCGCGTATAGGACAATTTTTCCCTCCTAAAGCCTATCACATCCGCAGAGCGCCTGACCAGTGCAGCAAGAGGTTCGATGGCTAGAACAAACAAAGGCGAAAGCGGCATCCCTGCCTGGTGCCCCTCTGCAAAGCAAAGGCAGAAGACAGGGAGTCGTTAATCTTGATTCTCGCAGAGGGGCGGCCGTACAGCAGACGCACCCACCTGCAGAAACTTGGGCCAAAGCCAAAGGCGGACAGCACAGCCCACAGATACTGCCATTCGACACTGTCAAACGCATTTGCAATGTTCAATGCTCTTTCCACAGCAAACAAAGGGGACAAAATACAATCAAAAACAGAGCGCCTCTTCGCTGCATCCCCCAACCCCCTCACATTCCAGGAGACAAGAGTCACTAGGTGATCAGACTAGAGCTGCAACAATTATTCGATTAAGTCGATTAAAATCGACGATAACATAGGCAATGTAGGACATTTGGCAACAGAGAGAGACTGACATTAGGAGTGCATACCAAGACCAGTCCACAAAGGCCTCCAGTGTGTATGGCTAGGCACAGCAAGTCCTGTCGAGAGAGCATCAGGAGCATATGAAACAAAAAAAACAAAAAGGAGAAAAAAGAAAAGTAGAGTTCAAGGAAAACAGTTTTAACGCAGTATTACTTGAGGAGTGGGCAAAAGCCCATTATAGCATTGTCCACGCAGGGAAATCTTCGGGGGAAGATGGCAACAGGCCATGTCACAGTAGGCATCCCAAAACAGAACCGAAACACCATAGGGACTCCTTCCAGTGCGGCAATGCCAACAATAAAGAGGTGGAGAGTTCATCTCACATGCACAGCTAGATGGGGAGGGTTACCATACTGTGAAGCAGAGAAAGAAAAACTACTCCGTGCGGATGGCCAGGCCCTCAGATGGCCGAGGAGGCCCGACGGCGGTCAAATTTATCCAGCCAGGATGAAGCTTGAGAGGGGTTGTCAAAGAACTGGGTTTCTCCATCAGCGATCACACGAAGCCTCGTAGGATAGATCATGGAGTAAGATAGATGGAGATGTTGGAGACGTTTCTTGACGTCCAGGAATTTCGCTCTGCGGCGTTGAACCTCTTGGGAAAAGCATAAACTTGGAGCCGGCGAGAGAGATCTCCCCCAGGTCACGCGCCTTTCCCAGGATGCGTTCCTTGTCCCGATAATTCAGAAGCCGGATTAACATTTGCCTAGGCGGGTTTCCAGGTGGTAGAGGGTGAAAGGAAACACTATGAGCTCTTTCCACAGCAAACAAAGGGGACAAGTCTTTCCAAAGGCTTAGCATAGCCAGGATTCGATATAGTCAGTAGCGTTTGCCCCTTCTGTGCGTTCTGGAATGCTGACAGCACGGATGTTATTGCGGCACAGCCTGTTCTCCACATCATCCATTTTCAGGGTGTGAGCGGAGATATCATGCATGGCCTTCTTGACATCAGAGAGCAGCGGGGTCGTAGTATCTTCCAGCCCACTCACCCTGCCTTCCAGGGCAGAAGTGCGGTCTCGCACCTTCTGCAGATCATGGCGCATGAAGGAGATGTCAGCTCTCATCCGATGCACCTGATCTGTGAGAGATGTCAGCGCAGCGTTGCACAGCTGTACGGCCGAGAAAACATCGGAGATGGTAGGCTCATTTGATTTGGATTTGGCCTTAGGCGCTTTAGGGCCCTTCGGCACAGTACTCACAGTCACTGCGGTGTCATCCGGGTCCTCCGAGTCAGAGGCGGACAAGTGTGAGGAGTCAGGCCCCATATCCCTCCTAGAGGCCTGGTCTGCTCAATTGGAGAGTCGGCGCGCCTTGGCCGGTGTATCAGGATGGCGGGCGAAAGCTCCAGCTTCGCCGCAGCGTCCCTGTCCCCCGTTTGCTTGCTGAGGTTGGGAAGTGCAGGATGCGAGCCGCCGCCGCCGCCATCTTGGATCGCCGAGAGGAGGCCTCTGCCGTCCTTTTTCTTAGACATCCCTCAGGGGTAAAACGCAGCCCCAAGGAGCAGATCGCCGGATTCCACAACCCTTAGGCAGTCCGCCGAAGAGGTGCAGGAGAGTCCAGGTAAGCCCAGCAGGTAATTTACAGGATGAGTGGTGAGAGAGCTCTCCGGGACACGTCCAACTACATGCGCCTGCTGGCCACACCCCCCGTCTGTTTCTTTAGCGTTGACTGGAGGAACGGACAGGGGAGGGGGCAGGCATAGCTGGATCTGCTTCCAGAGAGGCAGAGCCAGCTGTCAAGAAGCCAGCATGGTGGATAAGCTGCAGCACGGCTCTGCGCTCTCAGCATATAGCGGGAAATAGCTTTATACTGACATTTGGGTACCGGAGGGCACTCGTACATGTCCTCCTGTGACTCTGAAGAGAACTTTGACCAAAAAGGGTTAGGCTATTGTTCTTCTTTAACATTGCATGCACCTGTGAATTGGCAAAAAAATTATGTTCCCAAAATTGTCCATAAGTGAGGCTTTAAAAGACTACAAAGGTCAACAATTTAGAGTTAACCAGGAAAAATGACCTAACCTAACATTATTATCAGTTTATAAGCGAACGTTATTGTTATTACATAGGGGGCTATATAGCACATTATAAGTGACATGTTTCTTTAAGAAGACATTAGGGGTTTATTAGACCCCTAATGTCATAGTTCCACTCCACTAAAGCTGATCCTGCACAATCATGATCAATGCAATGACCGCTCTAAAAACAAAAGCGACAAAATCATCGTCAATTCCGGGTTTATTCACAGGATGGGAAAATCAGCGAATAGACGTTTGCTGGTCTCCTTCCGTCTACCCACCATGCCGATCTCAGACCCGAAGAAGGAGCAGCGGAGCCTGGAATACATAGCAGCTACAAAGGCTAGTTATAAATTATGTGGTTGCCATGTATCTTTGACATCGTAGGGGAGGACGCTGATTCCGGAACCTGTGGAAGTGCACAGCCACCTGAATCAGTTCTACCACAAAGCCAACTTATCTTGTGTGGGCTTAACACTGTAGCAGAAAGGAGTGTGTTTAAAAGCCTGTGTTGTAGCTGATGTAAGCCTCCTGTCAGTGTCAGCAAAAGCATTACATACAAAAAACAAAAAAAAATAACACACAGCAAAGTGCTTTATAAATAACTATCATAAACATTTGCCATTTTTTTAATAAAATACTTTTTCATCCTTTGTTGCATCTCAGTGCTGCTGATGTCGGGCAGCTTCTTTGCAGACAATTCCTGTTTACATGCATGCACTCCAGTGATTAGAGCACAGCATTTTTTAGTGAAGGTTTCTTGATGGTGACGGCAGATGACCATGCCTCCGTAATATGTGTTGAAGATGGATGCCAGTCTTCTGGAAGTTCACTACAACACTATAAATGTAATCAGATCAGTGGATGCCACCACTAATAGCCCTCCTGACTATCTAGGCCATTATTCTAAGATGGTCAGTAATAATTCTGGTCAGTACTAAGCTGGAAAAGACTTTTGTATGCCATTCTTTTTTTGTTGTGAAATGTAATGGTGGATTGGTGGATAACAGGAAGTTCTTCTTATTTACTAAAAATAACATTCATTTTTCATTGAACACTGTGTGTATGACAACATTAACCTCAATTGCCAAAGCTTTAACACCAGGATAAGGATGTTTATATTTAGCTATGTGATTGTAAGTTATACATTTACTGGCTTTAACCTGAAAGTAATTGTCATTTGTTTAAAAATCCCCTTATTCTGGCGTGTTCACTTTATGACTTGTGCCTATTGTGTCAGAAATATTGTTTACCACGAACAATGTGTGAGCCCTCAGAGATGACGATTGTCCATAAAATTAGGGATGCACCGATACCGATACAAGCATCGGTATCGGCCGCGATACCGAGTATTTGCATGAGTACTCGTACAAATGCTCGGATGTCTAAAACGAGTACCTGTGTATAAAATATATATTGATTTAGATTTTACTTTGCATTTATTATCTAAAAGACCACAATAATTTCCACGTACAAATGGGCTGTGCAGAAAAAGCATTAATACTTTTTAACTGAGCAAATGTAAGTGGCAAATGATTGTATAGTGTTTGCCTTTAAACAAACAGTTATGGTAGCCATACATGGCTCGATGTTATCCTTTCCTGCTGAAATTTGTGCTGTGGGTGGCCCTGTCAGCACCACTCAGCTCAACAAACTTTGATTGAAAAACTGAAGGAGGCCGATGAAAAATTGTTGGATAACTAGTGACTGAATCCAATCAGATGCAATCACTGTTTAGGGCCAGCAGTTGTAGATTCCTTAATCCGTGCTGTTTAGCGCGGATGGAGGAATCTATTAGTCTATGCATGTATGGCTACTTTAGATTACTGAAAATGTATTTTAATTCCAAAAAATCTCTCCCCCATCTTACCTTTAATAGTAGATATTTTCTTGTTCAAAAGTGGGTGTGTGGCTAACCTTGCTACTGCTCGGGTTTCAACTGTGCTGTTTGGCTGCAATAGAAAAAACAGATTAATATCTTTGAGCTTTAAAAGGCTTTTTTTATTGAAAAAATGGGGAACATTCTTAGCCCTTTAAATTTTGCTTAACAAGAGGCCTGTCTCTCTACTGACCCTTCCCCTTCTGCGAAATATGGACTGCAGTGCCTCTTGCCCTGGCAGGTATTGCTTTACACTGTCACAGGTCTGTCAGTTTTCTCCTGAGATGAAAAGTACGCCGACAAATTCTATATATGTTCTTAGATGTCAAAGAAGTTTTCAATTATCAGAACGACAAATAAGAGGAAGAAAGGACTTCCCATTTTATCCACATGGAAAACCACTTTAACTTGCTCACCGGTGCACACTGTACCAAGAAGCTTATGTCAAATAAGCGAAGTTGAAACATTTTATTGTATAATGATTTAATGTGAAACACATGGGGGAAAGACCTAAACTGGGAGCTGCATTCGTTTTTATTGAGTTTCCACTTACAAACTCTCATGAATAACAAGGGGTAGGATTGGTGTCACAAAATATATGTTAGCCTTTAACCCTTTTGCTGCCAAGGACGTACGTCGTACGGAGCTACAAAAGTGCTTCCAGCTGGCCAGCTCAGTATCATACAGGGTTCCACAATATGGATGAAGATCCATAAGCTGCTAGGTATCACATTATTTGTTTATCCAAAGAGACTGACAATAGCACAGGAGGGCTGTAGGCAGTAGTGACAAATGTACAATGTTCGCATAAACTATAATAAAATTACAATCCAACTGGCTGGATAAAGATGGCCATGCCTCTTTATCATTCTTTGTTTGAAAATTACAACCTATATTAGTCAATCTTAAAGGACATTTACACCTTTACCAAAATATTCTCCCAGCTCCCTCAACAAATAGAGCTAGGTCTGGCCCCACAGGTTGGAATTTACCTACTCTGAGGGCTGCAGCCTTCTGCAATGTCTGCAGCCTGACCAGTAATAATCTACTGCTGGGCTGCGCACTAACATCCCACACACTTGAAGGGAATGTACCTGTATAGCAGGAGCAACGTCCCATTAAAATCTATGAGACTGTGCATACTACCCAGCACTAGATTTATACTGGCAAGCCTCCGGACATCGAAGGAGGCTGCAATCATCGCAGGAGGCAAGTACAGATATTCCTCACTTTACGACTTACCTGCTTTGTGACCACTCACACTTACGACGAGCTCTCTGACCGTACGTGCGGGAATGTGGCAGTGCGACGTCTCGCCGGCGGAAGTGCTGTACTCCGTTCTACACTGCGGGTCTTGGTAAGTACTTTTTTGACCGATTTACAGTACACTGTACAGTACTGTACATCTGCAACACTATACAGTACTGTACTAATGCAGTACAGTACTGTATACAGGTCCTCACTTAACGACCAATTAGTTTAACGACCTGGTCGTTGGAACGGAACTCGGTCGTTAAGTGAGGAATAGCTGTATGGACCTTTTGCCGTGGGCCTTACTAAGTGTCACTACAGGTTAACCTTTGACCAACTCATTGAATGTAGTGTCTTATATAACTCTCCTCCTCTTAATTTGGAAGTGACGCAACCCCATTATAATTTGGTATTGACATAAAAAAGCAAAGTGCCATAGGAGTTAGCTGAGGAAACTTCAGTCTACTGGCACCTGCAGTGTAAGACTGTTTATGAGGATCCTGGCAAAGCTGAAAAGTAAACAGAAAAGGAGGGGGAAGGGGTGCATAAAAGAACACATGGCTGCCACAGTCCCATGAGAGGGCACCACTAAAAGTTTGTCCTTACTTCTTCTCATTGGCAAAGCTGTATGGGAAACCACTTGACATAAATACTTGTAAAAAGCTGTGAGTGATCTTAGATGATTGTAGCATAGTGTGGTTAATTGTGGTTTCCTGATATGTAGATTAAACTACTAGTGCTACATTGATATCAACATGAAGCCGATAGCATACAAACTTAACAAAATGTTATTGATTTTAGGCTCATTCTGCAGACAGTTCTAAATGTGGAATGTGTTTATTGTGTCAAATTTCTCCCTGCAGAATAAAACCCTACTAAGAATCTACTTGACTGAAATAAAAGAAAATTCATGTGCCATGACAAGCCTCTTGTGAGTGTGAAGACTCTAAGCAGAAACAGACAAAACACATTTACATTTCAAATCAAAGTTGAACTACCTATGACAACTTCACAGTAAATCATTGATCGCCTGCTTCATTACGTCATTAGACCCACTCCCTGCAATCAATCTATTCCTATTAACTAAAAGGTTTTCTATTTATTTAGGCTTGGAAAATACTGTTTTGCCAGACAATGCAACCCTCTGTTCTGGTCAGTCACACAAGTGGCTCTTTTACTGTGCAGTACACAATCCTGCTGCCACTACTTTTCAAACGCAATACACAAACCTGACAGATCCTGTAAATAAACATGAGGCAATGTCTTCTGACTGCTGCAAAAGAGCAGCATTTTGTGCTGCACTCCAACACATTATAGATTAACAAAACAGTAATGGAATATTGAGTCAACAATCTGTGATGTGTTCTTCTATGACTACTAACCCATCATTCAGTAACTCTATGGCTGTGTACAAATGAGGTAAAGTATTCAAAATTTACACCTCACGGTAACCTAAGTAGCCCTCTCCTTTACAATTTCTAATTAAAAAATATAGTTCAAAGCAAAGTTAGTTATTCACATTTTCCTATGGTATACCTGCAAACAGAAACAATTTTTACAATTAATGGTAAGGTAATAATTCCAATAGTGATAGTCAGTCGATGTACCACTTTATTTCTAGCCATACACTTCATTTGATTGATTTTGAATTTTTTGTGTTGGCTTTTTTTTTTATTCAATATGTTGCAACTAAAACTCATAACTGTTTACCATTTAACTGAAATGAAGTTCAGAAAAAGAATTTTAGAATGACAACTGAAAAAAAACCTGAAAACAATCCTTGGTGCACCTAAGACCTTCAAAATCTTATCTTAAAAAACAAGGATCATTTATGTTTCAACTTCACCCATTTTAACCTCTTGCCGTCCGCCCGTTAAGAAAAAACGGACGGACGGCAGACTCGCATCCGCGGGTTGCCGTGTCCAGACGGCATTTTTTTTCCTGCTCGCGCGCGCCCCCTAGCAACATGTTTGGTGTCTCTTTACCCGACGTGACCCCGTCTTTTACATTTTACCAAAAAATTGGGTAATTATTAATGTTTTAGAATTTAATATAGGGGAAACTTTTTTTAAAAAAATCTGTAATTTTTCCTTAATATATTAAAAAATAAAAACCCCAGTGGTGATTAAATACCACCAAAAGAAAGCTCTATCTGTCCCCAAAAAAGGGTAGAAAATTCATTTCAGTACAGGGCTGCATGACGGAATAAATGTCAGTGAAAGTACCGCAGCGCTGAATACTGAAAAATGGCCTGGATGGGAAGGGGGTTTAACACCGCGGATGTCAACTGGTTAAAGAAACTGAAAATAAAAACGAAATGATCAAGTGCATTCAATGATCTGTTTGGTATGTGTGGGAGAGCCTTTAGAGTTGTTGCAAGAATGTTAAGGGCAAAGCTCATGAAAGTGTCAAATCTCTAGCAAACCATTCATTGCATTAAAAGGAGAACTATGGGGTTAAGGCTTTTCCCCATAGTTCTCCTTAGGGTAACGGGAGGACACAAACTAGCGTCCTCCCGTCACCCTGGGCTCAGTATATCGCGAGCTGCAGCTCGCGGTATACTGAGACGCCGCAGCTGAAGCGCATCCCGACAATTGTGCCTGGATCCGCCCAGCTGCATGACTGACAGCTGGCTCTGCCTATCTAGAGGCAAACCGAGCTGTACCCGCCCCCTCCCCCGTCCGTTCCACCAGTCAGCGCTGGCGGATCGGAGCGGGGGGAATCCAGCCCCTCCCCTGTCACGGCAGAGAGCCATGACAGGACCGAGAGGTGAGCGAACGTCGGTATGTGTTCGCTCACCTCCCGATCTACTGAGCCAACCTGTGACAGTCTCATTGTCACAGGTCGGCTAGAACTATGAGGTGAGTGAAAAGCACTCATCTCATAGTTCTCCTTTAAGGCAACCATCATTTTGAATGGGCTACTATTCACAAATGCAACATACAGCAATGTAGTGCAGGTGCACTGCCTTAATCCATTGGGGTGCCATTAAAAATGAATGGCACCCCCATTCATTTGGCACCGCAACGCATTCATAGAGCGTTGCTGCATATTGTGGCAATGCACATAGTAACGCACGTTGCCAAAACTCAATAGTGTGATCCTGGTCTAAAAAACTTTGATAAAGTAGAAAGATTTACAATGGGAAGATTTCCCTGCATTCGTTTCTGCATCCACACATTTATAGGCAATAATGATGGAGATGGTGTCACTTTCTTGCAGCAGATTTTATACAGTAACGGAGTTAGACACCATCATTTAAGTGATTTTTTTTTTTTTTAAAGTAGGTCTCAGCAGTAGTAAAGAAATGAGCTTGTGAGTCATTTTTCCAGAGGCCATTCTAAGCTATAACAGTTTGTGAAGCACGTCCACACACACATCAGCTATAGTGAAGTCACTGGGTTTGTGGTTAGCCCACGTCGATGCTAGAGTGGTTGGCTTTATAACAGGCAGAGAGGGGAAGGGCAATGACAGGAGTCACTTTAAGAGCGGTCTCCTGAATGCAGAAAACAGCAGTCTTGAACTTGCACAAAAGAAGATACACATAAAATTGCAAAGATCATAAAAAATACACTTCTTGGGTCTGCACTACAAAATAAGAAATCTTTTTATGCAAAAGTGTATTTAAATTTAAAGACTATTGCCTGCTAAACAGAAGAATGTTAAAATACAGTTGTTTTTGATTCAAAGTCTGCAAGGAGATATAACCTGCATAAACAATGCAAGGTGAAGTAAGTCATATTTTATGCATTAACCACATATGGTACAATAAATCTAGAGACATTGAAACTGTGAGGCTGGCATAAAGCATGGCTTCAAATA